AACACTGCCCGCGCTAGGCCAAGTGCCAGCTTAGGTGTCACGAGCTGTAACAGCACACTTAGTATTCTTTGAAAAAGTAGCAGTTGCACGACGTCTAAAGCCCTTGCTATGCCTGTTGCACGACGTCCAATAGCTCAGCGCTGTTGCACGACGTCCAAAGCGCATGCACACTGGGTTTAACAGTCTAACTAACCTAACCTAATCCAACCAAACTCCGTATACATGAGCTTTGGACGTCATGCAACAATGCTGAGTTATTGAACGTCGTGCAACTGGCTAAACAGAGCCTTGGACGTGGTGCTAATGATATGTTTTTTTTTTTTAAGTATAAAGTGCACTGTTGCACGACGTCCAATCTCATGACGTCCAAAGCTTGTAGAAAGACTATATATTTTAAGTTACTGTACTTTTGGACGTCGTGGCACTTGGACATCGTGCAACAGTCAAATAGCTTGTATCGGATGTCGTGCAACAACTCAAAAATTATATTTTGGACGTCGTGGCTAATGCTATGTTTTTTTAAAGTATAAAGTGCACTGTTGCACGACGCCCAATCTCATGACGTCCAAAGCTTGTAGAAAGACTATATATTTTAAGTTACTGTACTTTTGGACGTCGTGGCACTTGGACATCGTGCAACAGTCAAATAGCTTGTATTGGATGTCGTGCAACAACTCAAAAATTATATTTTGGACGTCGTGGCACTGAATAATATCATTGGATGTCTTGGAACTTGGCAGTCATGCAACACTCCCGGTACCAGCGACCACTCTGCACTTATAGCTCGGTGCCGTGAGGATCTCGTATATTTCTTTCACACCAGCGCGGTGCGGCACCGTCCCGCACCGTCGATGCGGGACGACCCGCAAGGCCCATTCACACTAGCTGCCCGGATCCTGGCGTTTCCAGGCTGGAACTTTGTGATTTTTTTGATGAATTTAATTTAAATAAATAAAAGAAAGGTGGCTATGCTACCTACTTTGTATCCGAAAATAAAATACAGTCCCCCCTTGCTAAATAACTTAAATGGGTCGATGCCATGTGTTTAAAAATGTCAATTCATTGTATTTTTAAAATTTATGGTGACAGCTGTGGGGTAAACATACAAATGAAAGATGGTTTGCTGCAGTGGGGGTCTCATCCTACACACTCTAGCCTTCAAACTAAACCAAAATAAAAAGCTTGTCCAAACTAATCGGCTCTAAACAAATTTCAACCTCCCTACCAAAAACAACAAACTTCCCTATTAAGTTAACAGGATTACTACAAAATCAACCACATTCATCCACTGATAGACGAAGACTGTCGAAAATACTGATTTATGTGCGGGCGAAACCAGCCCGTCCCGCGAAAGTGTGGAAGCGTACATAAAGAGCCCATGATCTAAAAACGATTATGTGGTTTCGTCCCGCATTGAAAGTTTAGCCTTCTTTCACACCAGCGCGGTGCGGGGCCGTCCCGCACCGGACGAAGCTGTTTAGACTATTGAATCATATGGGAGCTTTCACACCAGTGCGGGTTGACCCGGAAAGACCTAAACCTCTGTCCGGGTTGAAAAATCACCCGCACGAACCTAAACTTCCAATGCGGGTCGAAACCGCATGAATAGTTTTTAGATCATGGGCTCTTATGTACGCTTTCACACCTGCGCGGTACGGGCTGGTTTCGCCCGCACATAAATCGGCAGTTTTGACAGGCTATGCCTATCAGTGGTTGAGTGTGGTTGATTTTGTAGTACTCTTGCTAAGTTAATAGGGAAGTTAGTTGTTTTTGGTATGGAGGTTGAAATTTATATAGAGCTGATTAGTTTGGTCAAGCTTTATATTTTGGTTTGTTTGAAGGCCAGTGTGTAGGACGAGAACCCCCACTGCAGCAAACCATCTTTCATTTGCATGTTAAAATTTTTACAAACTATTTAATTAAACATGCCTGATTTATTTAATATAAAAACATTTGGTTTAACGAGCACTTACATGTGGACATTATACAGAAGTTTAAGATCTGATACCTCACAGCTGTCACCATAACTTTTAAAAATACAATGAATTGACATTTTTTTACACACACGGCATCGATCCTATTAAGTTATTTAGCAAGGGGGCACTGTAATTTATTTTCGGGTACAACAAGTAGCATAAGGTTTCTTTTATTTATTTGAATAAAATACATCCAAAAATCACACAGTTTCAGCCTGGAAACGCCCGGATCCGGGCAGCTAGTGTGAAAGGGCCTTGCGGGTCTACCCGCATCGACGGTGCGGGACGGTGCCGCACCGCGCTGGTGTGAAAGAAGGCTTAGGTTCGTGCGGGTGATTTTTCAACCCGGACAGAGGTTTAGGTCTGTCCGGGTCAACCCGCACTGGTGTGAAAGCTTCCATATGATTCAATAGTCTAAACAGCTTCGTCCGGTCCGCTGATGGTGTGAAAGAAGGCTAAATTATTAATTAGTCCGTTGAGATACGCCTCCGGGTGGGCATATATTAATTTCACAAAAAAGATACGCCCCTTTGTCTTTCAAGCGTCGATACACATGTATAAATGACGACACTGATCCGAAAGAAAACATGGTGATTGTGTATTCCAAAACGTACGGCACCCGTAACTTCATTTACCTAACCCGCCATGTTAAACTTCCCTATCCCAAGCGTGATGTATATAACCTCGTTACTTCTGGAGTGATGTAAAGTTGAAAAAAACTCACTCGGTGATGTAATGAAACCCATTTAAATAACATTGAGTGATTGAGTGCTTAACTTATAGCTATTTACATTACAAGTGTAGTAAGAGCGTTTTTACATCACGCAAGTGAATGTTGTGCAACGAGCGTAAGCGAGTTGCATAATTCGCCTAAGTGATGTAAACACGCTCTTGCGTAACGTGTAACGTACAAGATTTTACCTGACCCGACAATATACACGGGGGAATATTTTTCATTATCCATTTCACTCATCTTCTAAGAATAACGTTCTTTTACAAACAAAAGCTAGGTTAGGAAAATACTTTAAAGCATAACAATAACATTCAAGCGCACAGCTGATTTCTAGCGTTGAACGTCGTTGGCTCCATAGAGGTATAATTTTTAAGTTAAGCACTCAATGTTATTTAAAGGGTTTCATTACCTCACCGAGTGAGTTTTTTTCAACTTTACATCACTCGAGAAGTAAGGAAGTTGTATACATCACGCTTGTGATAGGGAAGTTTAACATGGCGCACAACATTCACCTGCGTGATGTAAAAACGCTCTTACTACACTTGTAAGGTAAATAGCTATTACCCTGTCACAAGCATTTGTCATGAAATTTAATAATACATTGGTACAGCAAAAGTTGTGGAATCTAAACACACCATAACCAATCAACTACCCGTTCTAAAACAAATTAAATCAAAACTACCGCATAGTTGTGCAGTTAAACATTATGGATATGACGAATAGTTGTATTGACATTTTTCACGGAAACAGCAGAAAATTACAGTATGTACGTGTATTGAATTAAATTTAATATTTTATTTGTAAACTTAATTTGCCTACAACATTACATATAAACAGAGGTAATTAATTATTGCAGTAGTTAACTGTCCAAACGTCTTCCTTAAAAAATTCACCCATTATGGACAAAATGATTATTCTCACCAATACCTATATGGCCCTGGTCCTTAAAAAATCACCCATTATGGACAAAATTATAATTCTCACCAATTCCTATATGGCCAGGGGGTAAAATTCCGGGTAGCAAGTCAGTACTGTAGCTTGGTTTTCTTGTTATGACCTGTTAGTCATAACTTTTTTATTGTAATTTCAACACGGCAAAATGTTCTCACTTGACGAGTTTCTTTTAGAATTTTTTAATCAGAATTAGGCCCTATTGTTTTATTACTTTGATTGAAATTGTGACCATACAAAGTAGATATTTTAAAGCCAAGTATGAATGGAGATGAGTGTAGGATGAATGGCGCGATCTTGTAGTCTTGTTAGTGACTAAGGCCGACATATTCTTTTATTTGTGTCAAGTTTAATAGCCCATACAGCTAATGACAACTAAGGGACCTACAATTATTTATAGTGGAATCCGAACCACATTTTTGCCTTGGTATTAATGAATTTGTCTAATTATCAGGATAGTACTCCGGATAGTCGTAGTACTCAGTAGTGCAACAGTGCAGTTTGTTTGTTGACGTTAATCTACAAACAAAAATATGTACCCTGATTCCATTTAATTGTCCCATTTATTTGCCCGTCCTATTTTATATGACAAATATAAATTCATCAAGTGAAAGAAAATTATTACGCGACTAAAACTTTCTTGGTTTCCTTGTTATTGTACCAGTCTGTAGTAGCCAACCAGAGAGCACACCAACCAACGAATTAAGTTTATTTAATGTTTAATATATAATTCCTAATATTTTATTCTGTTTTCTGTGGTAGTAGCACAGAAAACATTAAAATAGTATATTTCTGTGGTAGAGTAGTCAGTACGCTGCTGGTGCCTTCTCGCATTCTCTCTCCTCTTCTTCTCTCACTCTTTCTCCTACCACAACCCCCACCCTTCATTCTTGATACTACCTGTACGCTGTATGTAGTCGTATCGTATGTAGTAGCATTGACTATATTATAGTCAATGGTAGTAGCTAGTAGCGGTGCGTGCGGTGGTAGTTAGTAGTTATAACCGTTGTAGCACAGACAATGGAATAAACCATTAAACATTAAAGTATTATATTGTCTGTGGTTGTAGGTTGTAGGCTATGTAATGTAGTAGTGCCTAGGAGGATAGTTTAGTTTAACCCTCCAAGCAAGAGAGTAGTCCTCACTCTTTTCTCCCTGTCACCCCTCCATCCCCCACCACCACATACAAGTTTACTCCTTCCGCTCTCTCCTTTCCTTCCTTTGTCCTTTCCCTTTCACTTTCTCCCTCTCCTCTCTTAGTCTCAGCTCAATTGCAGTCAGTTCCAGTTGCTCGTTGCTCAGTTGGCAGTTGGCACTTGGCCCACTTGGCAGTTCCTCAGTCCTACTCGGTGGTTCGTCCTCGTCCGTCCTCACTTCCAGTTTCCAGTTATTCCAGTGCAGTGTGCGTGTGCGCCGTTTGCGGTCAGTTTTAGTAGGTGTGTACATTTGAAATTTCGTCGGTACCTACTTTCATCGAGGTGAGCTTTAAATATTAGTTAGTGTATTGTATTTATCTGCATTTCTTTTAGGCCTTAGGCGATTTCTTTACTTTATTGTTAAGATTTTACGATACCACTTTTATTCAAATTATCGATACCTGTATTATATGGCAATGGTTACTCAACCAATTCTACTAGCATATTAAGACAACTTTTAAAGTAAAAAATTTCTTTCTGTACGGTACATGTAAACAAAGTTAAATTTAAATTACTAGCTATTTAGGCCTCCTATCTTATTCCTAGCAGTAAAATAAAATTGTGGTCAGCTTTGCTTTATGCCTAAGTTATGTGGCTGTAAGCCAGAACTAAGTTAAAACCCATTTTCTTTATGGAGTAAATGGATGATTTTTACATTTTAATGTTAGACACGACATTATGATTTTATACAATAACAATACCTACCTATACACAAATCATTATTTGGCGAGTTTTTGAGTGGTTTGACATATCGTTACCGTACCTATGCTAGCAGTTTGCTAGTTTGCATGTATTTATTTTGACTGGATATTATAATGCATCCATACAACGTAAGTTAGGGTACGCGTTATATGGAAGAATAGAAGAAAAAGTATGATTTCATTCATCCCTAATTTGAGTCGCGGTTAAATAATATATTTATTTTTGCATTTAAACGGTGAAAGTGATATGCCTATTTACTTTTGTAATACGATCAGCAATGATTACCAAACCAATTCACGCAATTCGAATGAGATTTAGCATATTTATTACATATTTATACATATTTATTGTTATTGTTACATATGTACATATTTATTGCTGTGGGTTGAAATGTTTACAAAAATGTATTTAAATTCTACAGTCACTTAAGGCCCGGTTTCCCCAACTCAATTAAACTTAGTTTTAAGTTATTTTTAAAAGAGAAATATTGTTATGTCTAGTCTATAAAATTGGAGATGTTCCGTTGGTATACAAAATAAATAAATAAGCATATCTAAACGAGAATGCAATTAGCGTTAAGTATGAATAGAGTAATAGAGAGAAGCCGATTAAATATAATCTCATTTAGGTCAGTAGGTCATGTTTACTATCATCAATTTTCGCTTACCGAATCAGTTAATACCTCTTGCAAATTTGTGTAAACTGTTTTGTTTGTAGGGAGACAGAGTCTATAGAATTTTGTATAGGCCTACTTCTATCATATTCACTAATTTTTATCGTACTCTGCCCTATTGTGCCATGAAGTAGACTACTAGGTAAGTAGGTAGAGTAGTCTATTGCTGAATGATTTTGACTAAATTTTGGAATTAAGGGGCTTATAGCCCCAAAAAACGGGATTGGTTTGGTGACAACCGCTAACTTACCTAAAAAATCGTATTTCGCAACATTTGAATTAAATAGCATTGGTCTTGTGGGTTGACAAAAATAAAAATAACTATTTGTTTGAGCAAAGTAACACAAATAAAAAGTAAACAATGATACCCCCGCCGCTGCAGACTAAGCGAATTTCCATTTACCGGGCTGGAAAAATTGTCAGATTTATTTCCTATTTAATTAACAATAATTTTAATGAGTGCTTAGGTTTGCTGCTACAGGGAAGGTATTGAGTTGTGTTTTTTGTAATGAAATGTTGATAGCTTAGAATAAAAGAAACAAAATTGCAAAATTTTATTAAAATATATCCCTTGTTTTATTACAAAAATATGACATGGGATTTTTTAATTTACATTTTTTTATTATCTCGTATGTCGTTGTCACAAAGCCATTTTGGAACTAATCCTATAATCTAAAACAAGCGCATGTACGGGCAAAGTTTTTTCTGTTCGAGGATTTTTTTCATTTTATGTTGTATATGGGGTATGGCCACGAGAAATCAATATGGTCATATAAAAGGCTGGGAAAAATCCAGTTTCTGTCCTACAGCCCTGGTTTGTAATAAAACTATTTTTGTAAATGATAAAATGTGTCTGATCAAACCGAGCAAGGCTCGATCCCCCGGGACTATGATTTTGTCTATATATCATATTTTTATCTGCTGTCATTAGTGAACGTAATAGTTGAACAACGGGTTTCAAGAGGGGAAAACATTTCTGTGTAACATTTTTTGTTTAATGCATACTTTTAAGTAAATGTTCTATAGAGTCTAATCGATCCACGAACAGAAAGCGGTATATGGATCATAAACATAAACAAATTAAATTAAGTCACTGGCCTTAAATGAAATTGTTCAAACAATATGTTAAATGGTATTAGTATAAGATTCAGGCCAGTTACGTACAATTTGTTTATGTTTATGATCCATACAACCAACCATAGAATAGCCACATCATACAACGATGTGGTTTTATGGGTTCCTTATCTTCTGCCACGCGCGGACTCACAGGAAGTAGCTTCCTATGAAATTGTCCAATCACTATCTAGGCGTTTCAAACTGTCAGAGAATGAGAGCATTTTTTTCCAAGGATGATCCAAAAAGGACATACTGTATACAGTTTTAGATAATAATTTTGTGGCAGACTGATTCGCCAGGAAATTTCATATACGATCACAGGATTCCCACGCACCTGAAAAGTCAGGGAAGGTCAGGGAAAGAGAAATTTATAGCCGAAAGCCGAAAGTCAGGGGAAATTAAAAAAAAGTTAAGTCATGGAAACTTATTAGCCTAATACCTTTTATGATCGCGTTAATTTTTTGGATGATTAGTTATGTTGAGATTTTATGAATGAGATAGTTGCTGAAAAGAAAGTTCTGAAAAATCTGTGGTGTATGTAATTACAGTGGAACCTTGATAACAAGTCACCCTTGATAACCAGTTTTTTCAAACTCCCTAGAATTTATTTCACCCTTTAATTACATGTTATTACAAACCTCGATAAGAAGTTAACCTTGATAACAAGTCTTATTTGATAATCCCCATCAAAGTCTTGTTATCAAGGTTCTACTGTATTGTTATTTTTTTTTGTTTTATTCAAAGGTGTAAGTATTTAGAATTTGATTTATTATTCGGTATTGTTTTGATAAATTCCCCGCCAAAGCAGAACTCCAGACTAAGCGAATTGCCATTTACATTGCTGGATTCCTACTAAAGTATTCCATTACATTTTTCAGATTAATTTCCTATTCATTTATTTATTTATTTGTTCACGGTATATCACCATTTTTACAGGGTTGACATTACAGGGTTGACATGCTGATATAGATACATTGAAAGATTCAAATAACATTATTCCCTTTAGCTGTAGCAGCACACTTATGTACTTCACTCCCGTAGTGAGAGGTGATTTCATCGAAATCTTGATAGCTTAGTATGAAATAAACAAATTCGCCAAAACATAAAGTAAATCGGTCTAGAGTCTAGAAACCTGCAGTAATAGCTTACCTATGGGAAATTCGCTAAAAGGGTGTGTAATGGCGGCTATGGGGATGGTAGAGGCTGTATTAAATAAAAAAAATATGTTTAACCGATAAATACCGAACATAGCCTATATCTAAATAAAAAATTAAAAAACGCAGAGTGCCTAACATATACCGTGGTCAGGGGAATTTACAGAAAACGGTCAGAGAATTCTCTTGAGATATTTTTGTGGGAACACCATTAAATCATTAGTCAATTATGATTATTCCCTCATTCCCTGTATATAGGCCTAGTCTAAAAACCCTTCGGCTAAAATATGCCCTCTTTTAGTTGTCTTGAATCTTTAAGACAAAATATTAATTCCTTCCAAAATCACGCTCACGAATATTTATCGATTCCGTCTAGAATGTTTACTACACAACAAAAACTCGCAATATTACAATTTCCATTCGATTTTTAAATTGTGTTTTATAATTGAAGATAATATTTTGAGGAAAGCTTTCATAATCACGTGTTATTCAGTACATGTATTTCAAGCATGTGAAATTTCCATTCGATTTTTAAATTGTGTTTTATAATTGAAGATAATATTTTGAGGAAAGCTTTCATAATCACGTGTTATTCAGTACATGTATTTCAAGCATGTGAAATTTCCATTCGATTTTTAAATTGTGTTTTATAATTGAAGATAATATTTTGAGGAAAGCTTTCATAATCACGTATTATTCAGTACATGTATTTCAAGCATGTGATGATTCCTATAGCATTCCTCCAATTTAGCATTTATGGAAGCCTATACTATTAGCTCTTCACCCCGTTTGACTCACAGAAAACGTACTACGTGGTTTGACTTCACTCATAGACACAGTCTGTGCTTCACTTCATAAGTACTGTACAGTATTACCTCGACAGAATTGAGAATTTAGTAATTTTGAACAGCGCAATCTGTAGGCCTACTCACATCAATCGGTGTGCAATCGGTGGCTCGCATCAACTACGACGATTTTGATAAAAATGCTAGCTACAAATTTAACATGGGGATGGAATGCCTATAGTTGTATTGTTAGTCAAAGAAAGGTATTAATAAAACTATTGATTGGCTAATTTAAGCTGAAATAAACAAAACAGAATACAGTAATACAAACAAATAATCATACCTGATCTCACTCAATATGGTAATAAAGTGAAAGAACAACAAACAAATAAGTACAGCTGAGGTATTTTAACATTAGGCATATGGAAAGTTCCCTTTAGAAAGGAGAGAACAATTATTTATCAAATAATGGATAGTTTTGCGCAAGGTTTCTCGTCATGACGAACATTTTATATAAGTATATGGTTTATGGGGATGTGACTTGTAATTTTATCAAAAGTTCGTGGGTACTTTGGGATTTATATATGGATTGCTGTGTTTTATGGACTTGATTTGTTGTTGTCAAGCTCTGTTTGACTGGATGAAATTAGTCTATATCAATCAATTATTTAAGATGGGGACGCCACTATGTGCGTATTTTAACCCAAATATGTATGAGTGAAGGTACATCGGTGTTTTAAACAAACGTGACCTATCACAACACCAATCTTCAAATCAACACAGTGACGGTAGAGACTACATAGCGACAGCTGGTGGTCGGCGGTTGCGCGCGCGCGTGTGTGCGCGTATTAC